TAGCTACATGCTATTTTGTATGCTAACTAAAAAAAAAAAAACAATTCAAAATTAAAAAGGAAAGAAGTGATGGAGAGGGAGCACTTTACAAGGCAGGTAGGTACTCATACCAACAACCTTTTTTTTTTTAATTACATTTTCATGTGAGTGCTCGTACCATGGCCCAGCGGTGGTAAGAGAACAACTTGCAAAAGTTGGTTCCCCCCTTCCATCATGTGGGTCCTGGGGACTGAACTCAGGTCACCAGGCTTGGTGGTGGTGCCTTTGCCAGCTGAGCCATCCAGTGTCTAACAACTTACTATTCAATCAGGGTTTAGAGGCTTCAGGTAAATGTGCCAATCAAAAAGCATTTTTATAATAGGAATGTATAGCACAAACTATGGAATCATTCTTTGGCCCTCTAATTTTATTTTGAAATGGAAAATTCCTGTGTTCCTATTAGTGCTCTTTATAGTCACAACAAAACATGCTCATTGAAACATTATTTTCCAGAATAAAGCTATACAGCCCATAGTAATTCTAACATGAGACACAACATTCTATTACAACCAGAACATTAAGTAATAGAAGAGCACACGTCCTAATTTTATGGTCTGCTCAGAGAGCTTATCAAAGGCAGAAAATGAACCTGGAGCAATAGAGTTTATAATGCAGTGTTCATTAGGTTTTGTGCAAATGGTTGTTTAAATTCCCATAGGGAAGTCTGTCCATCTGGCAAACAGCAGGATGACAGCAGGATGAGGAGGACCAGATGGGCTCTGAAATGGGTCATTCCTGGCAGAGCAAAGAATACTTGAGGTAGGATTGATTTTTGATGCACCACCTGAGGTGCCCATGACAGACTGTTCACAGCCCCACTGGACTTGTCCCCTGTGCAAGAACTAAAGAATTAAAGGCCATCTGGCGGCCGAATGAGAAAATGACAGCTCAGATAGTTCTGAGAGTGACTTCTTCAATTCAGTCAGCTTCAGTTGCATACAAAAGCATCTTTTTTTTTTTTTTTTCTTTCTGGGTTTTCGAGACAGGGTGTCTCTGTGTAGCCTTGGCTGTCCTGAACTCACTGTGTAGACCAGGCTAGTCTCGAACTCACAGAGATCCACCTGCCTCTATCTCCCAAAGTGCTAAGACTACAGGTGTGCACCACCATGCCCGGCTCACCAAAGCATCTTAACATCTCCTAAATTCTGTTACTTTCTCATCATCACTGCCAGGGTCCTCAGTCAAGCTGTAACTCTCAGTCTTCATAATTTCTCTCTTTATCTCCTTGAAAATGCTATGTGCAGGATACATCACTACTGTATGTGCGAAATTATCAAAATTAGGAGTTCAGAGGGGCTGGAGAGGGCACTCAGTGGGTACTGTGCTTGTTTCGCAAGCGTGAGGACCTGAGTTCAGAGCCCACACTCCCACATAAAAGCTGGCTGTTGTGGTATGTATGTATCTGTCATCTTAGCACCAGGAGGCAGAGACAGGAGGACACTTAGGGCTCTTTGGCCAGCCAGTGTAGCCAATCAGGGAGCTCCTGTCCACTCTGAGACCCCGTCTCAGAAAATATAGCAGCCAGTGATAGAGGAGGATACTCTCTGGCCTCCGGCTACACAAATGCAGGCAGGGACATGCACACCTACACACCTGCACACGCGCACAGGCACACACCTATATTTCACACCAAAACTTTTGGTAGTTGGTGGAAGTCACCTCTTTTCTCCAGTGCGTTCTGTCGTTCTGCAGGAATGCAGAAATATGTTGCACTGTTAAGCAGTGGCAAAGAGCAACTCAGCACAAAGCAAATGTACATTATGTTTTCTTGGCATTTGATGAGAAGTTCACCCATTACAGAACAGCATTCATCCTCGAGTCCTCTTGAGGAGCCTTGTTTGATTAAACAGCAGCATTTAAATTCAGATCTTTTTTTTTTTTTCATAGAATTGCAATTAGTGCCTTCCACGGGGAGACCTATCAGACTTCCACGTAACAAGTCCCAGTGTGACTTAACAACACACTAAGAAGAGCAGGGAAGCCTCTCTGAGAAAGAATGCAGTTTCAAAGGCATCATTTTCTTCTTTTCTCATTCATTCAAACCAGCACATTTGTGTAAGTAGTACCAAAAGTAACAGTATTTGTCCAGATGGACTGCAGGGTGCAGGCTGGGGAACGGCTTCCAGGGAGGTCCAATCTTTGGGTATACCTACAACTTCTGGAAGTCCCTCCCACTCTGTGCTCTGGAACACCTGCCTATTCGGTGATGAGGAACCCATTGGCCCTCGCTCTGTTTCTCCAAGACAGTCTGCCTGGACTGGTTAGGAACCATTGTAAACCCTCTCTCCCTATATCCGTTTGCCACAGTGCTACACAGATTCACTTCCCCTAAACTAGATGAAATTTGTAAGGTATACATAAAAGGAACATGTAAGAAAGCAGTGACACTCCCACTCCACCCCCTCAAAAAAACATCTTCAGAAAAATCTGCCACATGTGTCTAAGAACTCCTTCCACCCAGCTGGACCCTGATACTTAGTAATTCTTTGTTCCTGTGTTTTCCCTCCTCTGCTTGTCAGTGAGGGTGCACCAGAAAATTGTAACATCCCCAGGAATAGGACAAACTGATGATTCTCATCAGGAAATATGTACCAGGATGCAGTGTCCCAGAAAACACACACACACACACACACACACACACACACACACACACACACACA